ATGAAGCCTTACTGTGGAGCCCACAGTGGGATTTAATTGTGATTCCCTTCCCTCTACTAGATGGAAAGGGACTGAAACAGTGAATGGATTTGGCTATGCAAGCCCCACCCTGATGCTTCACCGCCTTTGAACAAAACTTTGGGGGGTGCTTGTTGTTTGCACGTAAGTGGGTGGTATAGTCCAAATCTCATTGCTGTCAGAGCAAGTTCAAACATTCAAACTCTCCGAGGATGCGCATGATACAAAGACCTGGACTCTAACCTAGAAGGAAGTTTGCATCACAAGTTTCATCACAAGATCCAAACCGAGTAGCTCAATGCTTTGTTTTCAGTCTTTAGCTATACCATGTTGACGTTGGTCTATGTTATCTCTACCCGCTTCCTCTCTGTTGGGCTGGGAAAACTTCCCCTTAGCTCTGGGGTTTACTTTGTCTCTGGAGAACGAGTCAACTCTCCACTGGCAGTCAAGAGGAGCTAAAACCACAAGGCTCCTACTAATAGGAGCAGCACATCAAAACCTCGCATCGCACCGAGAATTAGTCCCAGAAAATGAGGAGAGCCTTGGTGGCCTGCACGGCTCAAGTTCCTGGTACAGCCCAGTGTCACCGACTTCACAGAACAGCAGCTTTCTGGCAAATTGTGCAACTGCACCGCCCCCAAACTTCCTGTTTTGAAACCCCAAGAAGCTGGAAAATGTTAACACCGGCACTTTAAAGTGCTAGTTGTGGCTTTTTTTTTTTTCCTCTTCTTCCTAAAGATCTACAATGATACTAAAAAATTCTACATACAAAGGACTAAAGTGGGGCTGCCTTAAGGAACTGGGGGCAGAAAAGCAAGCGCACGTCTCTCCACGGAGCCCCAAGCCAGGCAGAGCACGGCACATCAGAGCATCCGTAACAAAACCATCCCCTCTTCCATGACCTGTGAGATGTTAGGTAGCTCACTGTCTCTCCACCTCCCATCTCGCCCTCTCCGAATGAGGCAGTATGGGTCGTGCTCCATCGCTGCGGCTATTGGTGAAGTTTTACGGTGGCGGGTCCTGGTGCTTCCAGCTGGAGCTGTGCTGGGCACTGCGGACACCTGCTGAAACGGCGGATGCCGAAGACGAGTTGTTCCACTTGGAATAAGCGGCGAGGTGACAGATGGAGAGGCAGGTGCTCGTGAAGTGGCAACAAGACAATTGCGATTCACGTGTCGAGCAGGGCTCACCGGGTACCACGTGCCATGAGCAGCCACCTGGCCCAGCTTCCCGCTCTGGCAAGGCGCGTGGCAGATCCATGCTCTGCCCAAAACCCACCCGTGATAGGAAAAAGAAGCCCTAGCGATAAAAGGACCTTGTTACTGAAAACGAGACATACAGCAAATCTCCGTTCCATCCCAGCTCATTTCTGTATAGGAAGAAGAGCAATTAGAAAGAAGAAAGCATCATGTTTGTCTTGAACGCTGCAAGGGAACTTATTTATTTCCAATCAGCATGACAACTGCTTCCTTTTCTGGCTATCACTGAAACTCCAGATGGTACATTTGAGCATACTTAAACCTCTAACTTGGCTCCTTGCAAAGACATTGTCTTCCTGGTTAGCTAAAAATGTATTAATAGTATTGGGATGGAAGCTCCTGCTCTCCTGCACTGCGCTATTTGAATAATGAAACCTTGGTCATTCTGCAGCATTCTGGCTAGAATTAAAATCAGGCGTTTGCAGGGGATGAGCATCTGCTGAATGTATTCTAGTTATAACCACCTTCTATTTGAATTTATTTGCATTATGTATATTTGACTATTTTGCTAATATTCAGAGTTCTGCAAACCCTTTAGCAGCAGCAGTTATTACCTGTCTCAACCCTGTCACCTTTTTCTAGCAGTTGCTCTGCATCGAAATTTCGAACCTTTCCGAATCAGCCAGCTGAGGTGCTGCCAGCTGTTATGGTTTTGTTAGGGAGTTCTGAGGCATCGTTTTCTTAAATCTCCAGCTTCAGGACTCCTGTTATTTTCAGACACTGCTGCTCTTTGTTTGAGATTCACAGGTAGGGAGAAAAGCTTAAGTGAGCTAGGAAGCCAGACAACAAATGTAATCCAAAACAAAAACTAAAAAGAAAAACAATATCACGATCGTAAGCAAACCTAATGACGAGGGTTTGCACCTGAAGTACAGAATAAAAGGACAGAAGGATGCTGATAATGTGGAAACAATTCAAATCGGCCAAAATGCCTGTGCCTCGTTCTCCTTTGTCACGCAGGGACCTGGTGCAGTGGCTGGCAACTGCGAGCTCAGGACTTTGACATCTAAGCCCATGCCTCATAAATGCCGGTATTGTTCTAAAGAAAATAATATCCTGTTTCCTTTTTAAACTGTGTATCTCTTTAAAAATGGTAAATGGCTGCTACATTCCTGCCTTTATCCCGGACACTTTTTATGAGGCTGTACTTCCCTTTTCTTTTGCTTTAACAAGCTGGCTAAGCAGAGGATTAGGGGAATGACTTTGTGCACGTGTGCTAAAGAAGGGGGGGAAAAAAATCCGCCTTCAAAATCTTACATAACCTAAAAAAAATAAACACATAAAACAGACACACACGCCTAGGCCCTCACTCTTTGCACTTAAAAATCATTATCATCATCATCATGTGGCCAGACTGCAGTTTGCCAGCTGGACCTTCCTCTGAAAAATGACCATTTTAAATTACGGAAACTAGAAACACATAGCAGCGCCTTTCCCAAACTTATTTCTGATGGCGTTTCCCATTTTTCTCTCTCTTTCCCATTACCAGAGCTTGGTATTCAATAGCTGGGAGTAAGCAGCCACCCCTCGGGAAGGAGGAGGAAGAGAACTACCGAGCCCTATCACGCTGTCAGGCACCTTCTATAAATATTTATGTGACCTACAGGATATAGCACGGTTTGAAATCTTGCAGCCTCCGTAGCCACCGTGCAGTCAGGCAGTTCCCCGTAGTCCTCTGAAAGTTCCTGTATTTCAGGCAAGACCTGGGTCTTTACGTAGCCATGATCTGCTTATTGCATCCGCTGACCTATACTGGGGACGTCGTACCGAACGGCGTGTTCCTAAGGGGATCGCGGCGTAAAGCAACGAACTCGCGTTTTTGTGGAGGATGTGGCTGCAATTAGAGTCGCTCGGTTAAACACGAGGAGGACTTTTATGTCCTCCGTCACGTGCAGACAGCAACAGAAAGATAAGCCAAGGTAATGCTTGAAGGATTGAGCTCGGTGAAGGGAAGAATAAGTAATTCTTCTGCCATGCACTCATGTTAGAGGGGTTTCTGTCTTGCGAAAACACCCAGGTTTTTTGGTTATTTTCTTAACCAACTGCATAAAAGGAACCTACCCAACCCCCTACCCTAAACAGGAACTCGATCCCTAGTGATATCTTACAGTCCTGTCCCTATTTATAGAAGTAAGGTCACCCAAATAAGAACCCAAAACGATGTCATGTGATTTTTGGTGACCAACTGAATTCTGCTTATTGAGAATTCAGAGGAACACATTTGAATAACCCACATCGAAAACCACTTGGAAAGAAGACCTCATTGTGGCCATTTTTCTGTGTAGAACAACTAAGCCATTTGCGAGACACGCGGTCAGTTATTTGGCATTTGAGTATCAAATAATCAAGCCATTAGATGGACAGAAATTTTGCTTGCAAAACTGTTCTTCAATGTGCAATTGTTTATTGAAAGCCTAAAATAGACATGTTTCCACTATCGTGCTGTTAATGGTATAAACAGTTGATGAAAACAGCAAAAATGAAGGAATTTGTAAAGGTCATTTGACGGCTAATTTGGAAACAAACACACACCCAAAAAAAAGCTGAGAATTTTACTCTTTGCAAAGAATTTATAACTCCTTCCCAGTATATATTGCTGTCAGCTGGGTTTGAATTCAGGACCTCGTGCACCAGGGCTGAGTTTCACAAGTAAGCTAAGGGGGGGGGGCGGGGGAGTTCACTATTAGGCTTCTGACCTGTACCTGGACTCACAGGCGTGCTCCAAACAGCAACTGCAGCCACATCTAGAAAAGGCCTATTTTTTTGTCATTCCCTGGAGCCAGACAGCAATTTCGTTTTCTATTCTTTTGCTGCAAACCCAACATAGAGTGAAAAAAGTCAAGCTTTAAATAGATACGTATATACCTGCTTCAATATCTGTTTACATAAACACGCACTTTATACACACACACAAGCAAAAATAAAGGCGCCTATTTTATAATTCTAAGAAAAATATTTGGCAGCATTCTTCTTTCAAACTCAGTTGGCATAAATTATGATCCATAATTCCTATCTTATCACGTCAGGTAGTCCTTTGAACTGAACCTGATGATGAGGAGAGCCAAGTGCTTCCATCACGTTTAATGCAGTTTCCAAAAAAAATCTTTATTTACACAGCTAAATATTTTATGGGCCGAAGATGCAGGGCTCCTGGAGATGATGAATTCATCCCTCTGAGGGGTTTTTGTTCACGGGTAAGAAGTTTGCCTGGGCTTGAGGCACATAATGAAAGGGAAGATTTAGTCATTCCCTTTCTTTTACGGGCTGCCTCCATCCTTCCATTGCTCATTCACAAATCCCTCGGCACGTCCGTAGGCAGACAAGCTGTGGGTGGATCTGAGGTAGAGGCTGCTGCTGGCATTTTCTACCGCCTCTGTGAGCAGCAACGCGCAGCGGAGCAAGCTCCCTCTTACAAACAGAGGCCGGTCGGCTCTGCCGACGGGCAGGGTTTAAATCTCTCCTTATTACAGCAAAGGGAGAGCCGATGGAAACGGGGAAGTTCAGTCCTAAGCGGCAGCCAGAGAGGCCAATTTCCTATGAATTAGACATTGCTGCTGGAGACCAAACAGGCTCTCTGGACCTGAGGGTTCAGACCGGCTGCGTGACTCAGCCTTGGCGTATTTGAACGTGCGAGGAGGAGAGGAGGTTGCCTGCAGCGGTCTCTGCTCTGTAGGTGCCTGAAGGGCTCGAACATCTCGGCCTCTGCAGCCCAGCCTGGCCATGATGGAGCCTGGGGACCCTGCACGGTGCCCAAACGCACTCGCCTTCCCCGCCGCAGCACAGCGCCTTGCACCTCGGCTGAACTCTGCTGTGGGCATCAACACCCCACAGTTTGCATACCTTTTTAGTGATAAAGTACAACGCAGGTGCAGATTAGGAAATATCTCAAAATAGTTCACCCCCGTCACTTGCTTTTGTGCTGTTTGCATTAACTGTCCCGCAGTTCGTTACCCTGCACGCTACGGCACCGCCAGCAGCCATACACACCCTCCGATTTCTAACTGGACTAGAGTAAGAAAGCTGAGCACTCACAGAGGAAGGATTTCTGTGTGGTGCTTCTGAGACTGAAGGTTCTCTTTATGGTTAATGCATCATTCCCCATTACAGTCATTTCCTCTGAAGTAAATGGGATTTTGCCATTATACTTTATGTTTATTGATATATATTTCCTAGCTGAATGACATTCCCCTGTTGCCTTCTTTTTCTACCCTGAAATTGCAGGAAGCCAAAAATCCTTCAACAGTAATGAGTTAAGTTCTGGAGCACGCAGAGCTGTGTGCTCTCCCATTCAGTGGGCTGGGGTTAAAAAATGGGCACCATTTACATGTTTATATGTATTCCAGGGCAGCAACGCTGGTTCTGCTATAATGTTTCAGGCTAAGGGGTCAACTGTTTAGCTGGGACGCTTCGTAGTAATATTTTGATGCCGTTTAACCAGGGATTGAGTAGAGGAAGACTTTCCTTGTGACCTGACGTTGAAGAGTGTCACAGGGAGGCCTTTGAGGTTGACGAATCAAAACCACCTGATTCTTTGTGGTGGCTAAAATACCTGTAGTGCTTTTGGGAGACACTGCTGTTAGGATCTTCTTTCCCCTTCCCTAAAGCTTCCATCTCCAGACCTGCAGTCGGACGTAACATCTCCCTTGCTCTCTGTTCAAAATTCCTATTACATTTTGCTGTGCATTGTTAAAGCAATTCCCTGTACTTTATCTCAGAGGCAGCAGAAGTTAAGAGATGGAGGCATTGGGTGGCTTGAGGGACTAGTAATGCTGCACAAAGCTCTTCACCTCCTATCTGAATCCAGCTGCAATTTTTGCATGACCAGAAATGATTACTGTGCGATGCTGGTTTGGTAGATTCTGAAAAATAAGCTATTTTCTGGCTTTTTTTTTTTATCTTCCTTTTCTGGTGCATCTGCATCACAAAACCACTTCTTACCTTTAGCTGCCAACACTTGCTACCCAGCATGAGTAAATCCGAGCACCTAAGCCATCGCTAGGCACCTAATTAAGTGACCTGATTTTCTCAGGAGCAGACTATGTCTTCCAGCTCCCACTGCACTCAGCAGTTGTGAAAATCAGGCCACTTTTGTAAATGGCCAAACATAGCTGTGACTAGTTTTGAGCACTCAACTTTTAGGTCTCAAGGTCTGGGAGCTGGAGCGCCTGGAGGGTAGGTCCTCTCCTGGCTGGGAGCTGCAGAGGAGGGTGTTTGGGAAGGATGCCGTGCATGCCCTGTTTTGTGACTAACCAGGGGCTACCAGTCATCATCACCATTCCCAGCACTGAATTTAAAAAAAAAAAAAAAAAAGTCTCTCAGCTTCAGGTCTCGTGATAAAAATATACCTTGGCTTTTGTTTGCTTTATGCAGTATTTCCTCCTTGCACTGAAAATTAAATTGAAAAGGGAGTTTATTGTCCCTGTGGAAGAGATAGGCACCTTTTGAAATCACGCATGAACAAAAGCATGGGGGGCCCAGCCTAATGTTTTCTAACGTCCTTTGGGGTCCCGGGAGCACAAAGGCAGCGGAGAAGGAGCTACAGTCAGTTCCAGCAGAGCTCTATTGTGCGATTTGTTCCAAGGAAACATCAATTCATTAAGCGAACAAGTCAACAAGGGTGGGTGGCAGAACCGTCTGTCCTGCTAGATTGTGCATGACTCCTTCAGAGACCTGCTCTGGGGTCTGGAGAGAGTAAATAACGAGTGAGAGCCAGCTTGTCTGCCCTCGCTTTACAACAGGAGAAGCTGCTCATTTCAAAGCCAGGAGGGCGGTTTTTAATTCACTACCTCGGATGCAGCACAGACAGACGCTTCAGTGACAAGATGTACGATTAGAAGAGTCACATTTTAGTTGTGTTTTAAAGAGCGTAAACAACCCAGGCAAGAGGGGAGGCGAACTCAGCAGAGGCAACACAACAGAAACGGGTGATGAAACCAGGGTAGGGAAAATCCACAGCCGGCCATTGCTCTGCTCAGGGACTGTGCAAGGGGAGAACCTTTTGCTCTTTGCTCTTGTCTGAACTACTTTTCAAAGCAAAGCAGCGGCTGCTTTGCATAGTGCATCTGAGCCAGGCTAGGGGAGGGTCAGCAAGATAAAACAGACCAAACTACAATGTTGACCGCACAAGATACATCCTTCCAGAAGGCAGGTGCTTGGACCTGCATTCTGCTGATCTCCAATGAATGCTGGCAGATAAGGGCAGCAAAATGCTTCAGGAGGAAGTATTTTCATAATCACACATTTGCAACACAGCCCTTTTTTTTTGCAGCATTATCTTTCTGCCTTCCTCTTACTCTCAAAATGAACAAAAATATGTATATTCAAGGGGTGGGGAAGCCAAGGGCAGAGCTGAAACGCAGCTGAGTCAACAACACATGTCTACGAGCTGGTGGGTAACATTGCATATTCCCACATGGTTATCGGAGTGCTTTCGAAAGTCATCGCTGCAGACAGAAAGGGCGACAGAAGCGCAGTAAACATCCTACACAGCACTATGGGCAGAAACAAGAAATGCTGGATGGTCCCAGCTGCCCTAATGCTGGAGCTACGGGTTGGACCTGGAGTCGTGACCCTTTTCCCTCACCTGGATCCACTTCGAATAACCAACCAGCAGCATCTTCTGGCTGCAAAAAACCCAGGGTGCATAGTACGTTGTTCTTGTCCCTTTGGTCAGACACATTCCCTCTAGCTTAAAGATGTCAGCAAGTCTTTTGCGCTATTATCAAGCTGTAACATACCATATTTAGTAAGATAAGGTTACGGGCTTGAGGCTGGCCGGTGTAAACTAGTTGTTTTCCTGTCCTCAGTCAGATTTTCTGTCACTAACAGCAGGCAGAGCTGAGACACGGCGTACAACCCACAGAGCAAAAGGGAGGCAGCTGCTTCGGCCAAATTAATAACAGCAGAATACAACTGGCTGTCGCCTTTGTCAGTCCCCGGGCTGTACCCCGGCTTGTGCTTCGCACGCTGAACGGCAGCCGGCGGGGCTTTACCTTCGCTGGGAGCTGCGCTGGTGCCTGAATGCATTCCCTGTTGCCTAACGCCTCTGTCTAGCGGCGCAGGGCGGTGCGTCCGTAGGATGTAGATCCTTTTCTGGCACTGCCCACCTGTAGGATCCCTTCCTCTTCCCTGGCTTCAGGGGACCGCTGCCTGGAGACCCCACTATCTCCTCCTGCAAAGGCTTCTTGCTCTTCAGACCTTCCTCCACCCACACCATTTTGCACGAGCGTGTGCCGCGTAATTAGATTTAACCACCATCCCGTTCATTTTGGCCTCCTTCCTACCGGATCTGTAGCACTCGTTTGAGAGCAATACTGCCCTTCTTCCCTTAAGTGGGAAGCTCTGAAATCACCTATTCATAGGGAATTTGCCTCCTGACATCCAACTGAGAGCCTGAGTTCTGTCCCATGACCCTAACGTTTCTAGCCTTTTCTTCCTCCTTCATTCACAATTTTTTTGCTAAATATTTATGCCATTTGGATTCTGGGTGAATCCCTCATTTTGGCAGTCTCTAGCAGCTACAAAGCTGAGGTGATCCACAGCTGCATTTCAATGCTGACGTCGAGCATTTGAAAACACTTGTTGTAAGTTACACAGCACTGGGCTGGCTTGTTCTGCACCTGGAAAACGTGCTGAATGGAAGAAGACTTGGGACTTCCTAGCTGGAGTGAAAAGGTGTTTGTAGGCATCCTGAAGGGAAATAAGCAAAAGAGCGCTTTCAACGTAGCAAGGGCTGAAGGGAGCTCGCAAATTTGGGCAGGTTATTCTAACTTGAAAAACCTCTGGTTTGTGCCCCCTCGTGGCAGTTGAATTTTTCTTGTCCTCGGTGCTATTGCAACGTCAGCACTTCCAGACCCAAACCTTTTGATTTTCATGCTGAGCAAACGACCAGCAAAGAGGTCATGAAGTGCCAAGAGCCGGTGGTTTCGCTATCCAGAAAAACACCGGGCCAAGCAGGGAAAACCCAGAGGTCCGTATCTCATACTTTGAACAGGCTGCATGACTTTGCTCCTCAAACAGCGCACAGCGATTTGACAGGCGGCACGTCCCAAAGAAAGTCCCGGGGCTAAGAGAATCAGTCTGGAAAGTGTATCCCACTTCTAAACACACTGTTACAACCCTTCCCCGGCAAGGACGCGGGTTCAAGCAATAGATGTCACGATAGCCGTATAAATCCAGCATCACTGAAATATTCTTTTTATTTTGTTCTCTCTTCAGACAAAAAGCACTGGCATCAACAGGTGGAAGAAGTGTTCAAGCAGCATGCGACTGGTTGGTATGAAATAATAAATGTTAAAAAGAGTAGAAGAAATTAGTGAATTTAATGCCTAAAATGTTAGCCATTAGAATGTGGGATGTTTAAACAGGGGCATTATCTGAAATACAATAGCAAAAATATTGTATTTCAATAATAAATTGAAATAATAAATAAAAATTCAAAAATCATTTCAATAATAAAAATTATTTAAGTGCTGTAAATAAACAATCCAGAAACAAGCCTTGTCTGAGAGAGTTGGTGATCTCGAGTAATAGCAAAAAAGGTGAGAGAGAGGAACCACTGCTCTCTCCACCCTAGCACCTAAACAGAAAACTGAGAGCTGCCTTCTCAAAGATGTTGAGCGATTTCTAGTGATCTCCTCCCTATGTTTTGTACACCAAAAGTCAGGAAGACAGCAGCAGTGACCCAGGTTAGATCTTCAGAGCCTCAGTCTGGAACTAAAAACCAATTTTCTATATTACTTAGCAGTGGTAATAGGCTGCAAGCGAGACGGTGCACCTCTCTGCCTGACCTGCCGGAGCTGATTTTTTCCATAAAGGGAGAACAAACGGGAATGAGGACAGGGAAAGATGGTTTTAGGGGAAAAAAAAATAAATGTCTTTATCTGTCAATCTGACACTTCTTTCTCCCTCTCAGGCTGTTCTCCCATGTGGGTGACCCATTCCTAGATGACACCCTGCCCCGGGAATACGTCCTCTACCTGCGCCCCACCGGCCCCCTGGCTCAGAAGCTGTCTGAGTTCTGGCAGCAGTCAAAGCAGATCTGTGGGAAGAACAAAGCCCATAACATTTTCCCACATATCACCCTTTGCCAGTTCTTTATGGTAAACCAGAGCTCCTCTTTCCGTTGCCTTTATGCATGCATTCATGAGCAGCCCTTGCCAGGTCCAGACTGGAGACGTTACACGCTTCATTCAGTAGCTGCAGAAGGGTTTGTGCTGGGGAGTTCGGGGGGGTTGTTACCAGAACTGCCTGATGCCTGGGCTTGTTAAGGAGGTAATTGGTTTTTTAAGTGGGTTTTTTTACAGGGAAGAGCAGCAGCAAAAGACCAAATTCTCATAATCTGAAATGATTGTTAACATTAGAGGGGGGGCGGGTAGGAAGGTGACTTGGGGATAGCTTTGAGGAAAACGGAGGGGCAGATGATTTCTAAACCTACCTTTTTCTACGTCCCCGTGCTTTTTCTCACTGCGTTCAAGCAAAGGTAGACCATTCATGCCTGCCCACCCAAGCCTTTCCTTTCTCTACCGAGCGCGCTAGAGAGCTAAGCAGAGGCATAAGGAATGATTCTCCACCTGAGAAACGCTTGTCCCCTTTCCTTTGGCAGTGTGAGGACAGCAAGGTGGATGCTCTCACTGAAGCTCTGCAGGCCACCGTGATGCGGTGGAAATGTAAATTCCCTGCCCCTCTGCCTTTGGAGCTCTACACATCCTCAAACTTCATTGGGCTTTTTGTCAAGGAAGAAAGTGCTGAGGTGCTCAAGAAGTTTGCTGCAGACTTCGCTGCAGAGGCTGCTTCTAAAGCAGGTGAGTGACTGTGCGGCAGCTACAAAGAGCTCACAGCTTGGTCAAGGCTTGGGCATTTTCAGAAACCAATGTTTTGATGGTATGAAGCAACAAAGCTCACGAAGCCAATACCTGATTTTTAAAAGTGGCCTGAAGGCTAGGAGCCCCAGAGGAACACCCCATTGGGTGCTTTGGGTTTCAGTGCTTTTTCAGTTGAAAGATCACCTCACACTTCATCTCAAGTGTTATCTCCTGAAAGGGAAGTTGACATTTGGTGGTTCCTTAACCTTTCAGATAGACGCTGTCTGCAAGGCTGAGCATTTCCTGCTCCACTCGCTACCTCAAGCCACTGCCACAAAACTTTCCTCAGCCATGTAAAAGCTGCGCGTGGTTTTTTGCTGTATTTCTGAGATGTAAAGAGGACTGCGAGAAGACTCCAAGTGCCCTGGCAGCCTAAGGGGAACCTTTTCAAACCTCGGTACCCACATGGCTGGCTCCGTTGCCTGCTCCTCTACTGCTTCTGGAGGGGTGAACCGATCAGGAGCTGGGAAGGGGGAAAATAACCAGAGCACTCCATGCTCCGATGGTCTCCACTGCTGAACAGGCTGTCTAGGTGTCCTCTGATTACCTCCAAACTTGGAAGTCAGAACAGCATCGGAGCACTGTAATAGCTCCCTGACTAATCCTCCCCGCCTCTGTCACCGTAGCGCTCACCCCAGACTAGTCACAGCACAACCAGTTTAGTCCTTCGTTATCACAGGCTCATCCTGGAGTTTAAGTGCATCTAGATAAGGCGACTTCTGAGTCCCTGGGGTGTTTCCACGCTAGACAGGCGCACCATGCAGAACAGCTACAGGTCTCTGCCTCGGGTTTAGGGGAGGAGATACAGATGTGTCATAGGTTCATCACACCTCTGAAAGACATTGCTTTCACCTGACAGTGACCTAGAATTGTTCTTCCCTTTAGAAGAAGGAGGAAACGGCCGTTACCTTTACAAATGTGCATTTTGGAAGGCAGCAACAAACACAGGTATACTAGGCTGCTGCGGCCACCTGAGAAGCGGTACAAGTGTTCCCCTGCAGAGCGTAGACGTACCCTCCAAACCGACATAGTCGGAAGGGGCAGTTCTTACCCCCAAAACACACCCAGAAAAAGGAAGCATCAGTGGCTTCCAGCAAGCTTCTGCCCCTGCGACTGCTCCAATTCAAACCAAATTGGTTCTTTCTTAGGGGAACTGCAGTCCACAGCTTGGTCGTGTTATCACATTGAAGTCTCTGGGGCTTTTTCAGAGATCCAGAGCATATTTTTCCTTGCTGATCAAAAAAAAAAGATGGATGAGCTTGCAAAGCTACCCCTGGCTGGCACTTGAGCCAAGTCTCTGAATAGCTGCAATTTTGACTGAATAATCAGTCAAATTTAATTGCAATTTTTGGTTGAATAAGCAAGAATAAATTACATGCGAACAATCTATTTTATGATTTCCACATCTCCTGGACGAGTCCCAATATTGCACGTACTTTCACCTTTCTGCTTCCTGGAAACTTTTCCTAATACAGGTTCTTTTTCTGCAGGAACATTTTGAATCATTATCATATCCATGTCTGTTTCCACAATTTTGGAATACCTCACCCTCAGTGGGCAAACTGGTAATCCAACTAATGTCCAGGGAAAAGATTTAATCAACTTGCATGAACCTGTAAATTCCATGGATTTGTAATTGGTACTGTAGGAGAGAGAACAGAGGAGGGAGGGTAAAAATTATGATTTTTAAACTTCCTAGTTTTGGAGAGATCTGCTAATGAAAGGCAGGCCACCCCCTTCCTGGAAAAGTGTCGGTTCGTTCAAAATTACAATGATTGTTTTCACACCATCCAGAAACCCGTTGTTTTTCGAATGCAAATGAGTTTTGGCAGTTTGGCAAGGATGCCTTGCCTACCACCGTGGCGTGACTCAGAACTGAATCACACCACAAATCTTTAATAACTTGACCCGAGGTGCAACATATATAGGGAACTCATGTTTGACTTCCCCAAAGCCTTTTCAGAAACTGGTCTACAATTTGTTCCACTTAAGCTATCTTTCAAATTTTGCCCCCAGCTCCCATTCAGAGGCAATGGGCACCCTTACGCCTTCGAAAAGCTGCTAATCTTGAGAGGTGCTCGTTGTTAACTGACATCTTCTCGCTGCAGATGTTCACGTGGAGCCCCACAAGAAGCAGCTCCACGTGACGCTGGCCTATCACTTCCAGACCAGCCACCTGCCAACGCTGGAGAAGTTAGCGCAAAACATCGACGTCAAGCTGGGCTGCGACTGGGTCGCCGCAATATTCTCCCGAGACATACGCTTCGTTAATCACGAGGTAAATTTTTGGAGCTTGTTTCAGTCCAAAAATTGTTTAAAAAAAAAAAAAAAAGAGGACCTAGCAGAGTCTCGCAGGCTGTTTTAGCTGCGTTTGCAGCTCGAGAGCACTCACAAGCTGTGAGCCGAATGAGGACTCCCATGTCCTCTGCTGAGAGCTGCGCAGATATGCAGCACAGGCTATGCAGATTTGAAGGAATTGGCCTCAGCTCCCACAAGGACACAAGACCTCCCGCATCCCACCGGTCATCTTAACAAACAGACCATCTTGCCTAGTTTTGCTTTTTACTCATACTGTCTAGACTTGCTATTTCACCCACCTCATTTCTTGCTTCTTGCGGGAACAATGTCCTGCTGGATTAATTCATTCTAACAGTGACTCTCCTGTTAGTTCAATGTAAGCTGGTCTGAAATCTCAAGAACCAGGCCAGTATCTATTTTTTTGGTACAGGCTCAACATTATTATTAATCACAGCGTTTACTTTCATCATGTAAGAAACACTTACCCTCATGGCCTATATACTTCATTTCCTCATCTGGATTCTATAACTGCAGTATCTAAGTGTCTTAACATAGTTTTCTTAACAATGTTGTTTTCCAACACAATATACAGGAAAAAAAAATTATTTCTGTTTTGTAGATTGGGATCTTGGGCATAGAGAAACCACGCATGAGATTCATCTCACCTCCCTGTAACTATCCCCACGCATTAGACCTCTAAATCTGAGCCAGTCTGCGGCTCCCTTTGTGCTGAAGCTCAGTGCAGAGAAACAGGTACCCCCAGAACGTGAATCATCTGACCTAAGATGTCTGTCTCGAGACAAGATGAATCAACTTCTGGAGGAGGGAACCTCCAAAAGGTGCCTGCCCAGGCAGCGAGCTAGACTCCTGAGGTTGAGGTGATTAATCCCACTAAAGTGCATTGTCCAGAATGGGACACCCAAAACCTGTGGCGGAGTGGGATAAGGTGATTTTAGTCCGGCACGCAACACAACGCAGAGTAAACAGATGCCGAAGCTTCTGGAGAGCTGGTCTCTCCTGCACGGCACTCGTCCCCAGCCCAGGCCATGCCTCCCATGCGTGAGAGCCGCCTTTCCTATCCGAAGAGTCATCTTGTCCTTTAGAAGCTGCAAGTAGTCAACACTATCAGTGATTGCAAAGGGAGTTGCTGATGAGAACCAGCTCACATCTTTGCGTATCTAACTTCAGGCAGCCGTGTGTGAAAGCTTGGCCCTTGTGGTATCAGGTGATAGTGACTAGTTTCCATCTTCCTTTGAAGATACCACAAATAGTCTAGGATGATTAGTGAGCAAACGGGGTGACACCATCAGGAGATCAGAGCCACTCAGCAGATTATGGTTTTTCTTTGCGTGATGCCATTGCAGAAGTTAGGCTTGGCCAGGGACAATAACACGTTTGTTCTCCTTTTAAATGGGGGACTGCTGTGGCCCTTTTCAAGGAAAGTTACCGACAGACATTTAATATGTGTAGATTCCTTATGCTCCAGTGAAGATTACAGAATCATACTCACCCATCTTTCCCCCACCTTTTAACTTAATCCTGTTCACGTTAGGAAATACAAAGAAAACAGCGTGGCAGCATCCCAGTATTTGTCACTGTGTGTGTTTTGCCCTGTGCGTTCTCATGACAAGTTTTGAGAGTAGGGTGTCACAGAGTCAAACCTGTTGCCCCCCAACAGTGTCTCTGCCTTGTCTTCAAAAGCAACAGCAACAAGGAGAACTGCCCTTTCAGATCAAGCACGAGCAGGTGAACAAAAAATAGTCACTAACCACTAGAGCTGTGGAAATTCCAGGTCCCAATAAGAATTCAGTTCCATTTTTAACAGGGTGCTTATGTTTAAGCACACAGTCATGTTTTTGCTCGCTCTAAAAAATCATCATC